AGGTTGTTGTGTTATTTACTATGTTGGATGTTCATGCTAGATTTGAATGGTGTTTTTTGGAGTAATCATGGAGTTGATTTCCCTTGTGGATTTATTGTAATTTAAGTTCTTTATAATTTTAGATTGAAATCTGGATGTAGATTTAGATTGGATGAAAAATAAAATCCGCAAATATTTTTTTAAAAAGAAAATTTTATAACTGAAAAAAATTAAGTCACGTTGTGGATATTACAATTTAAAAAACATATTTGAAGACTTTTAATCAAAATTTTGTAGTTTCGTGGATGGAAAGCACTGATACTTCAACTGGATAGTCTGAAAATTAAAGTTTCGACAAGGTCCATAAAAATCAAAATTTTCAGAACCTTACTCCATTCTTATTACTTATTATCTTAAATAAGAGACATCAAAAATGATTACTTCATAATCTATAAACAAAATGCGATGGAGATGAGCGATGATAATAGTTTTTGATACAAATGACGAACCATTAAGTTATAGAATCCACAAAATCTGTTGACATAACTTAAAACTCACTAGATTCTTATTTAATTGTAACCAAATCGATATTTGCTCAGAGAAATTCTTGATTTCAACATAACAGTTTATTTTTAAAACCATAAAACTTTCATCAACCTTGCCATCATCATGATTCTCTGACTCTTGGCCTTACTTTCCACTGCTTGTATACAAGAGTTATTTTCGTCCTTAACATCAATTTCAATTTAATCAAATTTTAATAACTTTATTTTGTGTTCTTGAAATGAAAAAAACACAACAATGCCTCTTTTTACATACTTTTTTGTGCTTGTAATATTCAGTAGCTGTTGTTGGATTCTCACTGCTTCTGTTTCATACGATGGCACTTTAAACTGTTTTTTAGCTCAACTACATTTCCATTTATAGTTCTCGTGAGACAGATAAAAAACATTAAGTGTGAGGAAATAAATTTGCAGACAGAGTTGAGTGCTCATGTTTTTTTATGCTAACTGCCTCTGAAATTGTGTGTGTTGAATGGGAAACGAGTAAGAATTGGCTGGTTTTTGAGACAAATTAGCGCATATAAATTGTTTTTTTTACACAATTTAAAATTTACAGATTTTTATATTTTTTATTTTTATTCATTTTTGACATTGAAGTCAGTCTCAACCAAACTGAGACTCGCAAATATTATCAAAATTTGCTCATAAATTCCATGAATATGTGTGGAATGCATTCTCCATACTACAGTTAATAAAACAACGAATGAGAAAAATTTTCTACATTAAAAAGCATGTAGCATATAATAATCTTCCAAGTTATGATGAATTGTCAGTTATAATGTTGACACTAATGCTTACTATAAATGAATAACTTTAAGAAAATGTGGAACGAATTTTTGTAATGTCAAGACGAATGGAAAAAGTTTTATAGAAAACTTGTATGTGACATATTAAGTTTTCATTTTTCTCTTGTTTCTACAAGCTTTACTTCTGTTTTGATCTTGCAATTTTAATGTGAATTTTTTAAAATTAATTGAGGTGCAACTTTGAAACTATAAAAATATGTGTGAATATGACTAGGTATTTTTTAAAAAAAGGTTATCGAAGCTCTAGAAGGTTGTAGTGGCGTAGCAAGGAATATGGAAGGGAGAAGGGTGGAAATTTTATTTTCTTCCTGGCGATAAAAGTTAATAATAATAATAATGTGTGAAGGGCCCAGCCTTTCAGCTGGAGGCACTGCGATTCAATTTGTAAAGAATCTATTGTACCATAACCTTAAAGCGTAAAAGTTACTCCCTTGAAGTTTTAGATGGCTTCAACTAGCTATTGACTTATAATTAAAAATGTTTAAAGTTATTTCATTATCTCAGGAATATTATCTTTCCAGGTGTAAAAAAAATCAATTATTCCTCTTATGTAACTCCGAAGGCCACTCGGTTATTACTGAATGCCTTAAAAATGACCTTTTTGACCCCAACCTCGGACTATTTCACCAATTTTTCATTAAAATAATTTATATTTGGTTTGATCTGACACAAAATTTCATATTTGCCTTATCCAAAAAGTGTTATTTAACAAGTGAAAGGCACTTAAAGCTGCTTCTCTTTTTTGTGTTCAGTAAAGCCTTTCTAGCACCTATAGAGGTAAAATTGGAAGAGTGAATTGGGATGCGGCTATAAAAAATACATAATTGATTAAAATGCGGATTTAAATTATGCTTGTGGATTCAATAATATCTTACATTAATTAATCTTGATCAGTGTTGCAAATGTAGATGTCTACACTAGATGAAGAATGTAGATTCTTCAATAGTTTTTGTCTAGCTAAGAAACTTTCTTCATAAAGATCGATTCTATATGAAGATAGAAAATCTAATTTACACAAAGCTTATTTCTACATAAAGAATCTGTCTACATAAAGATTCGATGTAGATGTCTACAATTCTACATTTTTTCCAGGTCTACATCAGAGAAGAATGTAGAATTGTAGACATCTACATCGAATCTTTATGTAGACAGATTCTTTATATAGAAATAATCTTTGTGTAGATTAGATTTTCTATCTTCATATAGAATCGATCTTTATGAAGAAATTTCTGTCTCAGAATTTATCTGATCCAGACAAATGGCCAGAATGCAACACTGATCTTGATATTAATATCAAACAGACATTGATCATAAAGCAGTTCCTGAATCTATCTATTTTAGATATGCTTCTTTTAATTGACCATGTAATTCAAGAACCTTTTTATCCAGAATTATGAACTTTTAAGCAAACCAAGAATTACTTCAAACCAAATTTCAAAAACAACTTTCGACAGAAATTGAATTTAGGTCCTAATTATTTATGAATTTAAATTATAATCAACAGTAATTTATTCATTGAAACTTAATATTATTAGTAATATAAATTTAATTATCTTACGTCTCTTATTTCTTTCTTATTAAAACTAATTGAATAATTTTCAATATTTCCTAAAAGATCTTTAAATTGTTTCTTGTATTTGACACATTTATCAATCATAAAAGCTCCTACACAAAATTGTGAGTTCATTACTAAGAATTTTTGTGCTTCCTCCGCAAAAATATCAAAAAACTTTTGAAAATTTCTCACACACCCTCGATAATTTAAGGAAATTTAAACAAATTTCTTCATCAACGTTCTGCTTATTGTCTTCAATAGATCCATAAAAGATTTCTTATCTAGCACATTAAAGTCATAAAGGATATAACATTACAACATGTTTGTGTGTAGGCGATAAAATGAGAACAAAATGAAGAATTAATTGTACAATAAATCAAGATATATGTTAGATTAGAAATTATGACGATCTAATAGTAGTCATTTAACTAATTCTTGTAGACATTAAGTAGTTTAGTATCATCTAGAGGATGACGTAATGAGTTCTTATGATTTCCTATATTGCTGTTCGAGTGGCCTACATATTAATTTGGAAAGATAATGTGAGAAAAAGTATTTAATTACAATAAAGAGCTTTCGTTGATTAGTTTTGGGAAAATAATTGAAAGGTTTGCAGCTTTCTACTCGAAATTGGGTTGATGTAGTGGGAATTTTCTTTTGAGAATGATAAATCAATTTCTTACATTCTTAAAAAATCAAAACAGCCTTCAAATATCAATAATCAAAGCCGAGAAAATCTTTAAAATCAAACTTAAAAAATTCATAATTCGCGTCATCACTTTAAAAGTATCCTAAATGCCGCTTTTCACAATACTATTAGAATCTCTTTTCATCCTCTTGTCTCATCTTATTTTTAAACGAAATGTAAGGAAAAATTCGTTCTTGCCAATTTATTTTTTATCGTATCACTTGATGTGTTTCTGAACATCAAAAAACGAATTCCTTTTGCTCTTTTTTTCTTCGTCGCCTTTCCTCTTCTTTTGGTGCTTGCTATTATCTTGATATTTATCTTATAAACGTTTCAGTAATAGAATGTAAAGGAAGAAGTCGACTAGAGAGACGAAAGAATAAAATGTTAAAATCTCTCTTTTGTGTATTGAGATTGAAATTTTACACTTAATACCATTTTCAATGACTTTCTTTTGTTGACCATAAAAAGGGATGAAGGAATAAAAAGTAAGGAAGAATTTCAAACTTTTTTTTTGCTCTCATGATTCTAATAGGTTGCCCTTATTATGCTCATAAATGTCCTTATTTTGACCATTTAATATACAAATATAGCTTGAAGGTGTAGAGAAAATCTTCTTAGTCCAATAAACATAAAGAAATGTTTGTGGATGTTTGTTCCGTATGGGTCCACACACAAAATCACAAGAATGATGACGACGATAATAACGGTGATGGTTCCTTATTATTTTGTAAAGATCTTTACTTTTTCGTGCGGTTTTTTGGGGAGTCGATTGTGAATTGTTTGTGGTTTTTCGGAATGTCCTTGCTAAAGTTGTTGTCATAGTAATTATACTTTATAGGTTCAGCTGAAGTGGCTCAGAGCCGAATGTTTTGACTTTGTATCGAATGCGCAGCTTAATTTTAAATTCAGCAATAAAATTCTTAAAAGAAAATCAACAATTTCTTGTAATTTTAATTATACCTGCAATCTTACTGTTTGTGATCAACCTCTTTTATTCCTATTACATACTTCTAAGAACTGTGAAACTCTAGCTTCAATTTGTAACAACCTATAAGCGCATCATTCCCAATCAGACCCAAATTGCCATGAAAAACTTTTTGTTGATTTTTTCCTTCCTAGAATATGAGAACATTTACTTCGGAAATAAGACTTAATGGTTGGGAAATTTTCATGTTTGAGAAAATATAATAAAGAGAATTTTTGAAAGAGAACAAAAATCTATTTTTACGAATGTATATTGTAATTTGTAAGTCTCAGAAGAGCACATCATTGTATTAATACTATCAATACCTGAAGTGCCTTCCTTCTCATTATTGAATGTTCGATCGAGTGAATATATCATTTGCAGTACTTAGCTTCAAAAACATAAACAGCAACGTCAGAATTCGACGTAATAGGAAATAATCATGTCAACAAGTCTGAAAATTCAAGATGATTCATCAGAAAGCTTGATTTCATGCTTCTTTGTAAGTAAGTAAGAATATTTTTTTATTGCTTTATAAGCTTAATGTTTGCAATTGAGAATTACATCAATATCACGACTCCAAGGACTTATTTCGTACTTTTTAAACAGCAATAAAATTAAATTGAATTAATTACTTATGAATGAGTTAAGAAGTTGTAATTCTTAATCTATTTCACATAAAATTCACCTCAATTCACAAGTTTATTGTTTAATTAATTACCCGTACAAATTAATAATGTTTCGTTTATTAACTTTGGAAGTTTGATTCGGGTCTGGTTTGTTGATTTTATAATTATAGAAAGTTTTGTTCTTTGAGTTTGTGTTTACTTTTGCGTCCTTGAGATGAAATTAAAAGTTTAGAGATTCAAATGATCCAAATAATGAAAAACAGTTCAAAAATAATGGAAAGTTGTTCAAAAATGATGAAGAGCGTTCAAAAATCTATGCAAAGATTTCAAAAAAAGATGCAAACTGTTAAAAAATCATCATGACAATACATAAGGGGCTGTTCACTTATTACGTAACGCGGAAAAATGACTTTTTAGACCCCCCCCTCGTAACAAAATTTGTATGAAAAAAAATTTCCTTGTTTGAACCGTAACAAAATCTTAGACCCCCCTCCCCCCTAAAAGCGTTACGTAATAAGTGAATGGCCCCTAAGATCTTAATAGACTATTGAGTATACTCATGGTACCGTAAGGCACTCAAGACCATTTTTAGAACATACTTTTGAGTATGTTACGGTTGGAGTCATAATCAATATTTTCCTTGAAGAGCACCTTTAACTAGTAAAACTTTTTTCTTGAATACACGATAAGAGCAAAACGTTCCTCATTCATACAACACAAAATTAACGACGTCTAAGTATTAATTTGTAAAGAGCGAATCTAACAATTATAAGCTCATTAATTATGATTATTGTCTCTCGTACTTTGTTAATTAAATAAGTAATAGATAATTGAAGTTGCTGTAAATTGTTGTTGCAACAATGACAAGACTTTTTTGGTACTTTTCGAGCGAATAAAAGTGTTTTGTATTAGTGGATATTGAGAATCTTGATTTTTATCATAGTCATGGATGAGATAACTTTGTAAGGTTCATCAATCATCGTTTTCTATTCATCCAAAAAGGTTTTGTGTGAAAATTCTGTATTGATAAAAATTTCAGATTGACCTTGAGTTTTCAAAGGAATCAACATTGGATATTGAAGATGTAAAAGTAATAATGCTTCGATTAAAAATACAGAGTGACCCAATTTCAGTCAAAAGCACATATTTTGTGAATTCGTGCAGCTCATGTTACAGTGTTGTTGCTGGGAAATTTAGTGTCCAGTGAGAATTTCGATCAAAATGATTTTTAAAATAAACATCTAGAACTTTATGTAAACGTATGCTGCTCCATCCAAAAACTCTCGCTTCAACACTGGAACGTTTTCGATTCTTTAATAATTACACAAATGAATCGTGCTTTGATGTTTAAGTTCGGTTGCAAAAATCCAAAAAGAAGTATTTGAAACCAGATTCTCTGTTTAATTTTTGTTTCTCGTGCTATTAATTTTTATGAATAATTCCAAAACTCCATTTACTCTTTTTTGTTCTATTTTGTTATCTGAAAATCTAATATTCGCGAACTTAAAAATTTCAATAACCATAATAACCGTGAAAACCTCTGCTATTGAAACTTTTCCATTAGCGAATGAGTAACATATCAAATTATATTTATGTAGAACTAAAGACTTTATGCCAATATTTGTCATCAATTATTTATCCAAAAATTGCATTATCAAAATCAGCGTTGAAATCTGTTATGCTGTTGAGATCAGAAAAAGATATAATCCAGTAAGCATCAGTGTCATACTTACCTTCTTAGTAGGAGAAAAATACTAGGACGGTAAAAATTTTGATGGGAAATTTATCATTTTTTTCTTATTTTTCCCATATTTTGTGGAAAATTTCCCATCATAAAATGGGGAAAATTAGGAAAATTGTAAAAAAAAGGTAAAAAATGGGAAAAAAGAAAAAATGGTAAAAATAGGAAAAACGGTAAAAAATGGTTGAAAAGAGAATTTTTTCACTTTTTTACCATTTTTGATGGAAAATTTCACTTTTTTTACCTATCAAGTAGTTTTCTTCCTGCTTCATGGTTGATGCGTACGTAGACTCATTGCCACTCTTAACGATCGTCTAAAGACAGATCCTATCCTTAGAAACCTTCTGATACTTCCAGATATTAAAGACTCTAGGTATAGATCAGTGGCATAGACTAATTTGAATTCGGAATCTGAAGGGTGTTGAATAGAAATCTTTTTGCTGTCCTTCGAAGTGCTTGGGAAACTATTTGGATTTCATTGATTGAGTCATAATTTAGAAAAACTATCTTTTTCTTCATCTAGATTGTCTTTGAGCAAGCTTTTTTGAACATCTTTAAATCATGTAGTAGTGACAACACAGTTCTATTTCAACATTTACCGAAACACAGTCACTCGATTACCAACCATGTTGATTAAAAAGTTAACATATTAGCTTAAAACCGAAATACGTAAATTAAATTATGAAAATGCATAATCATCATTTCATGCATGATGCAAATGAGCGAGGCTGCAAAATCAATACTCATCATCATCTACATCACAAATGACAGTGACACACATAAAATTGTGTTCTTGGTTTGAATTTTTCAGCATAGAAGCACATGACATTTTCTCAGACTAGACTTTTCCACTTGCATTTCTTTATGCACGCGCGACATCAATGAAGTCGAGCATGAAATATGCAGATTGCGTAAATACTACTTTATGACATTGAAACTGAAGTCGGAACAGATTGTGAATATTTAAAATATTTCCCACATCCACATCCACACACATACATGCACTTTGTGACGCTGAAAATTAAATCCGATTGTTATTGCGACAAATAGTAGACTTTAAAAAAGCAAATTCATTGAGAAGTTGAAGTCAGTTTAGTTGAATCATCGGTCAGAAAAAGTTGAAATTGAGAACAGAACAGATAAGTGAAAAAGAGGACGGCATAATCATGACAATTATTGCTTTGATAAGCAAGTTAAATTTAAAAAAGACTGGCACAATTTCCATCATCTTGATTTCCTTTTCTGTTATTTTTGGATTCATTCTCGTTCCAAAACTGATTAGGAGCCAACTAAAAAATGTTAGTGGAGATAAAAAAAAATTGTTTCTGGCTCTGTTGTGATAAAAAAAAGTTGCAGGCTTTAATTCTTTGTTTGGTGTGAATTTTATACGGTTTAATGTTATTGGATTTTTCATTATGTTCGAGTTTTGGTTTTTTCTGTGGAGAATTTGTGAATGAATTTTATGAGAATGGGAACTTATTGTGATTTTAAAGCTCTTACGAATGACTTTAAGAATAACAATATATTTTTGGGTTTTAATTGTGATATTTGTATATTAAATTTGAAAAAGATTCTTTCTTTTAAAGCAAAATAATAAATTTTAAAATTTTTTTTTATAGCTTTATCAATGTTCAAGTGCCAAGATAGTACTAGATTTTTATAAGTCAGAGCATGAAAGATTATTTTGAAAAGGAAAGACAAATTATAACTTTAAGATGTATTCAAAAAGTCCTAAAAATTTGAAACTTTAACATTTTACTTCACTTGCGATCGTACGCTTGAGGACAAAAGTTATCTAGCTTCGAACCAAATAGCACAACTTGGTTAATCAATCACAAATCTAGTGTAAACTGTAATTAATTTTTAACAGACTTGAGTTACCGTAAGCTCTAATCTCTTACAAATTTATCCGAACAGAAGTGATTTATAAAAATTGAATAAAACAAAATTAAAGATGATTATTGAAACAACTTAAGTTTCCATCCAAGGGACTACAATATAGGATAACTTTGTGAATCAAAACTCCTCAAATTTTCAGTTGCTAATACTTTAGAGAACAGAGAGGATTTCCCATTACCAAGGGATATTAATTGTTAATTTTATAATAAATAAGTCCCATTCTCATCAGTTACAAATTGTCTCATAATTGGAGTTCCGCAAAAAATTTACATTTTATTCATGCATGTCGAATGATATTCCATGTTAAATTATCATTGAAACACTAATTAGGAAGGAAACTGTTGGAAATTTTTTTCAATTACAACCAGAACTACCGTAAAAGCATTAATATGGAAGGAAGGAAAAAAAATAATTTCCATCAAAAAAAAAAACTTTCCCCATCAAATTGTTTTCTTCTTCTCGCCCCAAAACAGTAATAATTTCCTTACAATTACCATTTTGACTGGTTCCTTTTTCTTTGCATTTCATGATTTTCTCATTTCCATTTTTTTTGAAGGGACTAATGTTAAAGCCAAACAGTGAAATACGTAAGATGTGGGCAAAGGCACCATTCGCGGTGACATTTAAAGTTTATGTTTTCAACATAACTAATCCCATGGATGCTATGGCAGGCGGAAAAGTTTGTATTAAAATTGAAATTGGAAGTGGAAGAAATCCTCATTTTCATTTTGTAAATTTCTTTGTTAATACGACGAAAATTTATCGATTTATTTGACAAAATGAAATTTTAATTCTTTTTCATCTCTTTGCTCGAGCGAATTTTCTGGATAGTTGAATAAAGACTCAGTCACTTTGTATAGTGAGCTATTGGTCTGTCAGTGTGTTCTTAAGATAATCTTGAGAAGTCTTGATCTGATCCAAATTTGTGATTTTTGAAGATAGTAATGGCAACCTACCATACTCTCAGATAAATATTATAAATACACTAGTGCAGTGGTTCTCAAACTATGTGTGAAAAATTCCAAATCTACTAAAATTACCCCAATATATTCATGTTTTATGACATCAAAAAAGTCATGAAACCATTTATGGTGGCTCGAGCCTATTTAGGTGTGCCACGAAAACTTTTATGTAAAATAATGTGCCATGGACCAAATAAGTTTTAGAAACACTACCCTAGTGCCTATCAATCCAACTAAGAAATCATTCATGAATGATGTGCATAGAAAAATTTTGATTTTTTCATGTAATAGAAAATTCATTTTTTTCAGTATTGCTCAAACTTTTTTCAGCCACGGTCCATTTAATCTAGTGTAAAATCTACAAATTTCTGAAAAATACCTACTTTTGGGATTTAATACCTCTCGCATCTAAAACATTGTACATCATTTACTAATGAAGCCTTACTTTATTTTTAAATAAATTGAGTATGAGACCACAGAATCTAAAGTATTTTAGTTTAGACTTTTAGAAAATGCGCTTTTGATTCCACTTCCATTTGATTATATCCCATTATTCTTGCCCCAATAACAACAAGACTCCGAATTTTATCTGAATTTGCGTTTCACATTTTTCATTTTTGAAAATAAAGCCTCACGTACAACAAATTGGACCATATATTTTCGAGTAAGTTTTCATGTTCAACATTTTCATGGTTTCAACTTTTTTTTTCATCTCATTCATTTCATTTTCATTGTTGTTAGCTTTAAATAGTCAACAAAAATGCTTGTGCGATGGAAAGTTTTTTGTGTAAGGGGGAGATTGGATATAATATATTTTTACGGATTAATGAGAAGATGAGAGTTTTGTTATGTTGAGAAGTTTTTTTTTATAAATTTACCAATTAGGGGGAAAAGAAATATTTTCTATAAAACTTTTCTTAACTTAGCGGTCATTACATTGCTGAAAAGCCTTATTGAATAACAGAAAGCTTTAATCTTAAAATTGTTTTGATTTAATTTTATGGTTATTTAATGCTTTAGCATAATTTTCTTGCGGTATTTGGATAAAAATCTTCATGGTTCGCTGTTTAACTGTGAAAATTCGTGATCTGAATTTTTTTGGGGTTTTTTTCTTTTTAAAGTCAATGAACCTTTGTGATTCATAAAAGGATGAGTTTTTTTGACGTTTCGCGTGTGTAAAGAGGATTGTTATCTGAAATTGTCTGTCAGAAACACGGATATCTATTTTCGGATAAGGATGGTTTTGATTGAATATATTTTTAGGCATTCAGAAATTTTAGGATTTTTGTGTGTGGTTTTTAGTATGATTATGATAGATTGTCGTGATATATTTAGAATTTGACGTTTTTGATGTTAAGGCATAAGAGTAAATAAACCACCAACGGTCATAATGGTAGAAAAAATATTTGCATCATCTATTATGCAATTATTTGCTGTTATGTACATTAATTAGACAGGCATTTAATCTTGAGGCTTTTTAATCTGCATAAAATCGATTGATGATTGACATTAAAGGTTAATACCAGGGGCGTAGCCAGGGGGGGGGGGAGGGGGCATAGGGGGCCCGGGCCCCCCTACGAAAATCTGATAATTGTTTTATTAAGTATTTATAGAGAAGAACCAGTTAATGTAGAGGAAGTGATGAAAGAAATGTCAAAATCAGCACAAAAAATGAAATTTAATATATGAAAAATGAATTAAATATTTAAACTTATGAAGAATGAATATAGATTAAAGGATACAAAATAACAGTTTTTTAATTTTCGAAAATGGGCCCCTCCCCCCCTTAAAAATTTTCTGGCTACGCCCCTGGTTAATACGAATAGGGTGTTGTGTTTTAGTTCATTTGATATTCATCTTCAATTGCTCTTCAATAATCACCATCAACAATCATTAAAGATGTTTTAATTCAAAAATCCTCAAATTATCATTTATGAAAATTCAAATGTAACTCTTAATCCCACAATAAACTGAAAACATATTACATCAAAAAATAATTCATTTAAAAATTTCTCTTTCCCACAATGTTTTCAAAAACATGACCAAATTTTAACAAACAACACCAATGACCAAAAAAACTGTTTACAAGTGAATGGAAGGAGAAGGAAATCATTGAGGATGACGAAGAGAGTGATACTGTGACATTTGACATGAAGAATACATTTGTTTATCGTCCGGATTTGACAAAGACCACCAGTGGTCTTACTGGTGATGAGATTGTGACCATTCCGCATTTACTCATAATGGTGAGTTGTTAGCACAAAAGAATAAATGAGAAAGTTACATAAAAATGAGATTTTATATCCTTTCATCGTATCTTTTCATTTCTATTAAAGAAATGTTTTCAATTTAATGCGTATTTGTGCTGTATTTGGGATAGAATTGTGTGGACATTTTTTATTTTGTCTGGTTGTGCTTTGTTTTTAATTTCTTACTGTCTTTGCTTAATGAAATGGATATTACTGGTCTAGAAAGTTTAAAATTAAGTAGACAGTAAATCGATGTATCTAAATTGTAGACAAGGCACTTGAATTTTAAGTACGACCTTCTTAGTTGATCCTTAAATCCACAACAATCCTGATTAAGGATCTGCCTTTATACTTGACTTTTGAATTTTATAGTTGTTTGATTTTGTGAACATTAGGCTAGATGGAAGATTCAGACTTCTTTGTTCTAGCATTCACTTCCGATTTTTCTTACATCGATTCCATCTTATTAAGCTTCAATCTCTTGATTTTAAAACACTTAAGACAATAAAATCCGATTGAATTATCAGGACATTTAAGAAGCTTTTCCATCATCAGCTTATAACAAGCAAATGCGCTTAAGTCAATCACTTACCATCCAGTGACTCATTTTGTTACTCATTCATTCTTTTATTTAATTTGTACACAACAGAAACGAAACATAAAGAGCTCTTAAAAATGAAAACAAAATGGGTTTATTGTGGGAATCCGATTAATGACTCTCTATACTGTAAAATATTTTCTCCTTTTATGGACACAAAACAGCACAAAAAAAAACAACTTTCAAGTTTTGTAATTAAATAGAAAAGCTCTCTTGTGCATTTAAAAACTGATGATGTGAAAAATTTATTTCCTCCCACTTTTTTTTCTCATGTCACTCATGTATGTCTATAAACTTTAACTGTGATGATCAATGACAATGATGATAATGTACAATGAGCAGTGACGTGTGTAATTTTGTTATGTGCTACATATAGAAATTGTATTACTATTAGCAACAACATCAATTGTAGGAGGAGATGAAGAAAAGTTTTTCACATAAATTGATCTAAACATTCAAGAGAATTAATTTTTTTGTGCAAGTTGGGAATGCACCTAAAATGTCTTAAGCGCATTTATTTATTAAAGCATTAATCATATTCACACAAAATTTTCAATTTTTGTGAATATTTTAATAATTCTAATTGAAATCCAAAACTTTAAGAATCGATGTTCGTCCACAAAAGTTATCATTCTAAAGAAGCGAGTAGGGGTGATTTACTTAAACCGACTCCTACAGTTACTTAACCAGACTCAGGCACATACATTTTATTGCCAACACCAAATATTTCAATGAATAAAAAGTGCACATTCTCATGCAAACTTATCCACAATAACGGCTAAAATCCACCAATAAAAAAAGTTCATCGAACATGAAAATTTTATTCCTCTCTTTTTTCGGTTGATGTGAACGTAAAGCCACTAAGAAAATTAATGGGATTCTGTTATTGCAATTGATATTAATTTTCCAGCTCTTCACAAATTCAACTATCCGCAATATACATGACAATAGTCGATCGCTATAAAACATTCGACATCACACTAGATGAGTCGTTGATAAAATATCAATTTAATGGTTTTGAGAGAATTTTTGTGGATAAATATTCGAGTTTGTGAATTTATATTGGCTTATTGGGGAGATTGATTTGATCTGTGTCAGATAAGATAGTAATTTATTGAAGTCATTCACAAATAACATTTATTAACGATCAATTAGTTCTCAAAAATGCGCTATAATCGAACTATCCCAAAAAGTATTGACTTCCTTTGCTATTGACATCGTCGCGTATTTAATATGTACAAATCTATATACAACATTTTCTAATATTTATTCTCATCCTTTCGAAACAATTTCATGTTATGGCGATGCAATTTCGATTAAGGGAGGATTAATTGCAATTCAACGAGACATGAAACCCCTTCTCGGTATTGCAATAAAGGCAATGACACAAATATTCGATCCGACAACGCCATTCCTAACAGCAAGAGTAATGGACATTTTATTTGATGGCGTTCCTATTGATTGTAATCATGATGAGTTTGAGGCAACAACGTTCTGCTCAAAATTGGAGAGTGAAAAAGGCTTTAAAATTATTAATGAGACTCACTTAGCATTCTCCATACTTGGTGGTGTAAGTTTCTATCACGTCATGTAGATAAAATAAAATTAAAATATTTAATGTGACATGATAAGGATAATGATGTTGAAAATACACTTAAATTTATGTCAAGTCATCAAAATGACACGAAAACTGTAGCAAATAATTTTTCTTTCTCGTCCACGCTTCAAAACTTTCACTGAAAATAAAAGGCAAACGCAACTAGTATGGGAAGATTTAAAGTGTATCGTGGCGTGAAGGATATTTCAAAGCTGGGCGAAGTTGTATCTGTGAATGACGAGGAGGAAATGGATGTGTGGGATGGTGACTGTAATAAAATTCTAGGCACTGATTCAACAATGTAAAAATGCCACATTGCATCAGCATAAACTCATTTCATCGCCTCTTTTTCTTCTTGTTTAAATTTATTTTTCATATAGATTTGCGCCTTTCCATCACAAAAGTGACATTTTGTATGCATATGCACCGGACCTTTGTCGTTCTCTAGGAGCATCATATCTACGGCCATCGAGTTATAATGGAGTTCCGACTGGATTTTATTCCATAGATTTTGGTGACATGCAAGTAAGCTCCACACTGTTTTGTTTGTTTTAACGAGGAAAACATGGTTTAGCCATTTTTTTATAAACTTTATGTGTTTTTGCAATCGAATTTTCTAGTTGGCTGTGAAATAACTTTATAAATTAGAACTGAAAGCTTTTAGTGAAGTGGAAATTCTGAGCTTAATGGTTGCCATGTTTTCCAACCACTAAAAGCTAATTCTGAAGCATAAGAGGCATTAAGTTTCATAAAAGTTTTATTTTAATTTTTGAAGTGAGCAAATATGTTTTGGAATAAAACGCTAAACTTTTTTGAACTTCCAAAAAGTCATTGAAAATTTGACATTTCTTAATGACTTTTGATCATAATTTGTTCCTTAATGCGCTGAGTTTATTTCAATTTCACATTTACTTGTTCCATTATTATATATCTAACATGTGGAAACAACCGTCAGCACTATGAAAAACCATTTTTATCACACACAAAAAAAAAGTGCGATTAAAAAAAATCCTGCATTTACAGACAAAAAATTTTCAGTCATTTAATTTTCTGCTTTTTCATACTCCTCGTTTTTTTTTTTGTTATAAATCTAGAGTGATCCAAGCCTGCATTGTTTTTGCCGGGATCAGGATGTCGAGAAATGTCCACCAAGAGGAACTATAGACTTGTAATTTAATTAAATTTATTTTTTTTTGAAAAAAATATGTCTCTCGACTGTAATTTGATAATTTTTTGCTTCATGTTCTAACATTCTTCGTAGATATCCATGCAACGGAGCACCATTACTGGCATCAAAACCACAGTTTTTAGATGCTGACGATAACCTCGTGAGGAATGTTGATGGATTAAATCCAAATCGGGATGAACATGATATCTTTTTACATTTGGAGATGGTAAGGGTTTAATAAAAGAATGATATAGACATTAGTTTGAGGTCATTTGATTGTATAAATACTGCTGAGCTTGAACTAATTATCATTTTCAACTTTTTTAAGTGAACATATCACTGCTTACATCAAATATATCAGATCAGTTATCAAATTTTTCATTTTTAAAATAACTTTGTTTAAATTTCATGTGAAATGGCATTCACGTTTGAAGCTATGCTAGTTCACTTTAGAAAAATTCGCAAAAGTCATATTTGACATGACATTGTTTCAAAAGCTTGCATCCACTAAATTTCTCTCTCTTTTTTCATATTTTCCATTTTCAGTTATCGAGTTCACCATTGTCAGCTGCAAAGCGGTTACAATTTGCAATTGAAATTGAACCTGTCCAGGAAATGACAATAATGTCAAAATTGCGTACTGTCGCCATACCACTTATTTGGGTTGAAGAGTCGGTACATTTAAATTCAACATACACAAAAATATTCCGCGGACTTTATTTGTGAGATTTTTTTTTCCATATTTATTTATGCAAAAATTTAAATAAAAATATCGCAATTGAATTAAATATTTTTGTTTTTCATTCGCAGGTTTTTCAACGTCAATTCAATTATTAAGTTCAGCCTGTGTGTATTTGGATGTATTGGATTAATCATAACTGTGTACGGAATGTTTAGTGAAAAACTTCTGAATAAAGTGAATAATCTATCAACGCAACCTATACCGCCACTACAGCCGTCATCTACTAAAGTGGCTGTGGCAACAACAGATGCATTGCCATCGGTTGAAACGGCTTCGGAGCTAGACGGAAAGGAGAGATATTAAATTATTATGATGTTAAAATTCAATTTATGTCCCAGTTAGATTAATAATAAATTTTTGTGTTGTTGACTTACGTCTTTTCACACAAATTTTATAACCGTTGCAGGATGGAGAAAATCTGAAATTGTCGCAAGTAAAGTTAAACGGTAATACTATTACAATAAATAGTGACGCTAATATTTTTACTGTCGAATTTAACGAACCAATAGTGCAAAAAAATTCTATTATGCATACTTTGTAAAATTAAAATTTGGTTAGCCTATTCTTCCAAAACGTAATTGCTTCACTTCAAAAATCATTTTTTAAATTTTAGGTAATCAATATGATCTAAAATAATAAAACATAAATTATTGTATGTAGAAAAGTGGCAAAAAACATATTTTATGTTCTTAAATTTTTACAATGTTAAAAATATAAGGTTTTAATCAAAAATTATTAATCTTATGAAGACACAAAGACAAAAAATAAAATTTCAATCTCAGAAAAGTCAGTAAAAATAATTTAATAGCTGTAATGCTTAGTACAACTGTTATGGAAGAGTAAATAAATAGAAAGAATAAAGAATACGTGAGTAGGAATGAAAATTAAGCTTTCACATCATGTCTTTATAACATCAATTGATTGTATAGCTATAATGCCGATGTGATTTTAAAACGGCAACAGCAGTTTTGATGATATCATACTGGGAAAGCTGGATGAATGGATAAAATATGCAGGAAAAAAATAAATAAAACAAGACAGCCGTACATATGCATATATTCTGAAATACCTTGTCGCACATATGTTTTTCAGCAACCAGCAAATTAGTTTGTTTTGCAAACAACAGCAGCTCTCTCACACAAATACACACACATATTTTATAATTTTTTTATTCATGTATTTGTATGAATAGACGCTCTCCGGCTAGCTCTTTATTTAGAAAATGGTAAAATTGAATAACAAAGCTTCAGCAGGAGCAAACAAGCATTTAAACAATTTTCCAGCTATTTCCTCTCCTCCCTCATTTATTCATAGTTTTTTAGGATAAATGCAGTGAAATTCTATTCAGATAATTCATTTAAAATATTTTTGGCATTAATCCATTCAAATCCTTTTTATTCTGCCCCATCCAATGTTGAAATGATTCTCATCCTTCTGCATTTACATACCTTTAACATTTATCTGCATGTAGGAGTGAATATTTTAGGAATGAAGACTATAAAAAAAATTGAGAGAAATTTTTTGATCATATAAAATTCATGCATGCTTAAAATTTAAATATTTCATTGAATATTATATTTTAATCTTTTATATTTTATAGTAATAAATTGACTGAATTTGATGCTCAATTTAATTGGGTAAAAAAGAATTCAAACGAAAATTTTATTACATTTTAAATGGCAAATCGACTGCTCAATTTCCGCATGTATGCTATAGTTTATTGAACTTTAGTTTATTCAGATAAGCTGGAAAAGGTTTGGTGGACTAACTTTAAAGTGATAAAAATTTTGATTGTTGATTCAATTGATTTCTTTTTGAAGCTAGCGGTTTGTGAGGGATAATACTTGAAACGTCTGATAGTATCTTTTTTGAAAACAGTCCATAATGTTTTTGAACAATTGTTTTTAAAAATTCTAGATAAATTTCAGAGTGAGGCTGAACAAAAAATCATCTAGGCATTTAATCAATTGTATTTTTTTAATAGTAAAGGCAATGGTAAAGTAGAGATTTCAAACATTTTAGAGTTCGGTACTTAAAATTTTATCACACTAGCGATAAACTTGAATTGAATTGATCGAAAGTATAAAAAACTCGTTTTTTATTATTCTGATCTCCTATTTAAAAATCAGCACTCACTCTACCATCACCAGCTATTAAAATGCCGTAGACATTAAAATAACTTGCTCAGAAACTCATTCTTTAGCTTCCTAGAATTGCAAAGATAGCTTTCTTCAAAAATAAAATGCTTTAGCATAATTCAGCTAAAATGAGTAACTTAATCTAAAATCTTAATGCTTATGCGATTAAGTGTTATGTCTATGTGCGATTGCTATTAGTTTCAAGCGTTATAATTCCACAATAAATCCATTAAGTAAGCAAAAATAGATAAAAGATGTGTGTGTTTGTAAAGGCGGGTGGATTTGAAATGGAACTAATAGGTAGTATAAGAATATTGCCGTTTTTCGGATTTTATTATCATGATTAATGATAAATAAATTTATAGACACTAAGAGCATCCAAAAGTAGAAGAAGAAGTAATTTGTAATTATCATTGTTCTCTTAGTCTATGACTATTTATTTAAATGCTATCAATTATAATGTAATAATGAGATTAATGTACGAAAAAAAAGAATGTTTAAGAGAGCATAAATACAGCAAATAAAATCTGGAGCAATAAAATATATATCTTTATTTGTGATATTTCTGCTATCAATATACATAAATTTTATTTTGATTCAATTATATTACAATATATATACGTGGGATTAAGGATGAAATTTTTTATATGTTTCCGAGTTGAAAAAAAAGAATATTTACGACAGATGAGAAAGGCAATGACTTCGTTTAGATGGTATGCAAATTGCGCCACATTAAAATGTCACTTCCTTTATTTGACTGTATAAAAAAAGGAGCACATCAGCCCATCATAAAATTTTCTACATCCTCACTTCTTTCATAGAACAATTTCTGTGGAGAAATTTGTCGCTTAAAATTGCTTGTCTGACTGATGCTTTTTCGGTATGCAAGAAGTGCTTCTCAACAGGGAGCTCGTCGTGGGTATTTTACCGAAATGTCCTCTGTCATTTCACTTGCTTTAGATCTTCTGCCCATCGGACTTAAAGAATGGTCTATTATTATGTATGAAAGAGCTCTTTGGGTATAGCACAATAAATTTTGCTCGTGGAGTGCTATTATTCTTCTTTATTAATGTTGTCTTACCCCTCTGCAGTTGCTAATTTTTATTGACCTAATAATGTGATTTTTGTGACTTATAGATTTGATTAATTTTTGACTTAAAGGTTTGATTAATTAGTAGATTTTAGATTTTAGATTTTAGATTTTAGATCTATGGAAAAATTACTTTTTTTTAAACTGAAAAGATCACAAAACCTCAGACTACACACACCCTCATACGCCCACCCTCTTCACTAAAATCGTTACGCAACAAGTAAACGGCACCATATTAGTATTATTATGTTTGAAGCCTTAGGTCATTGAAATTTTTTATGTTCTAATTCTATGATCATCTATTAAAATCATTTTTAAAATTCCAAGATCTATGATAAATAGCTTAAGACCCTTAAAAATGATCATTAAATCCAATGCGTCTCATAGTCTTTAAAAAATAAACTCCAAATTTCCCGCACACTCCTTTTTGCTTTCATTGTGTTCATCTTTGCCATTCATTGAGCGTAATTTGACAATGAATTTAGATTTATATTTTTTATTTATTATCATCAAAACTCAATTCAGTTTGGTTTTCTTGCAAATCATGCCTTAAAAAATAATTTTGATTATGCTCTTTTATACGCGAACATCGAATCAATAGAAGCACCAACAATCGCTTAGCGGATTTTCATTTTTTTGTGTTGTTTGTGTATTTTGTGATCAACATAATCTCGTGATTATTCTCTCCTTTCAACATGTTGAAATGATTTTCTCATTCTGTGGACTTTTTTATATCGATTTTCCAATAAAACAAAGAAATTTTTCTTCTTCTCCAACTTAACTTCTTCTTACTCATTGTGTTGAGACGATTACAGATAAAGCAAGGCATGGAGCAGGCAAACAAGTGAAGAGGCAAGACACACAAAAAAATGAGAAGATAAAGGCATCGAGTGAAAGAGATATGGTATATATGACAAACATTATGTTGTACGCATTTCAGCACACACAAAAATCGAATAAATTATTCATGTCATAGCATTTCATATACACACGCACATAAGTATAACATCTATCCAATCTGATTTGTGACATGCAATTTCAAGCAATCTGTTCTGTCTGGATTTGGATCATTTCTTTTAGTCGAGAGTTTTTTTTTTTCATCTGCTGTGTACGAAGAGAACAAAAAAGGTATTAGTACACATAAATGGCACTGATAACGATAATTCTCTCGGCTTTTTTGTCTTTTGTGCTCAAAGCTTTTTCTTCTTTTTTGTGTTCATGAATGTATTTTTAGATCGAATTGTGTTTAAAATGTGATTGCGATTGTTTTTGAGTGAGAGCATTGTACTTTGAGTTTTTGCTCGAATCGATTTATTTTGCATTATGATTCATAGATAGATTTTTAATTTATTTGAAACTTGAGGTAGCATTTTGGGATCAATTTTTATGGCTTTTAACATAGAGACGAGATGAATGAGTAATGTAATAAAAACTTTTAAATGAAATGCTAACATAATTATGAAAATGTGAATGCAGAAAGAATCAATTTATTCTTATATTATGAGCAGGTTTGTTTTCTTGTGTAAAACAATATTAGTGAATCTGAATTTTATAGTAAACAAGATTAGAAAAACTAGTTGTAAAACAGATTTTATAATCGAAAACTAGATTTTTGTTCTATCCAGAAGCAATCCAAAATTGAATTTAATCATTGTTTATGAAAAAGAGCAAAGTCTTGGATATTGAGTCAAATTCGTGTACGCAAATGTTAAGTCTCTCGGGGTGAATGCTGACACTTAAGACTTCAAATTTGCAACCGTGGGTTCGATACTCACCAGAAAATGATTTATCTCAGTTATGATCATAAAACCAACAAAGTTTCATATTAAAAAATGAGAGTAGGGCTCAGAACTTATGCAGTTTCTGTAATTACGCAGCACTTTCATACAGAAAAATCTTCAGTTTCTATTCAACTTAAGTACTTTACAACAATTCACACGAAATTTATTTATAAACTCCTTATTTAACATATTAAATTCAATTTCATTCTTCCTACCAATTTTCAACTCAAATTTCCCAAGTCAAATCATTTTACAATTTTGACATCATTCATCAACAAGAAAATCTCAGAAAAT